GACTCGTCGCTCCGTATTTAAAGGCATTGTTGTATGCAGTTTTAGTCTGTCTCTTCACCGCTCTCAACCTCGTAGAGCATCATCTGCACGGAATCAACTATGGCGACTCTGTCAGCTTCCCTGGTTCTGTTGTCGTGTGTTCTAGGTAAGCAGTAGGTAGACAGCAATTAACTTGCCGTGCGAAAAAGTGTCAGTGTTTCGTGGACATGTGTCTGTACATCATTAAAATGTCGACCTTTGAAATGGCTTCAACGACATGGGCCATTTTTTGAGTTAAACATTTAAACAACTCAAATTTTCAATATTAATGAAACTTGCACTGCGCTCACATGAGATTTACGCGGCATGCAATACAGTTCTCGTTACAGTCTGATACCAGTGTACTAAAATTTGTAGTTTAACTGCAGGTATTCTACACTCGCAATAATTTACCAGTTTCGCACTTCAGATATCAGTGTATGCACTAAGTATTTGCACGTAACCTGTGTCTAAAGCCAGAATTACTTTTCAGCTCTTGCCACAGCAATGCCAGGCACACAGACGTACCCACTCAAGGACTGCTGGTTTGGAGACTGCACTGTCACTATTGGTGGCACGGGTTCAAATACAGGAACGATCAATGGCGTCCGTAAGTACTCCCCGGCTGCCTGGTAACCCCTTACCAACACTACAGATCAAGACGCGCCACATTGTTAGAAAAACCTTTCGGAATTACACTGAAAAAAGTAGGTAGGTTCACAGGAAAATTTTCCTTGACGAAAGTTGTAAAATTACAATTAGTAATCGTAACAATTCATGCAGTATGTATCGACTTCAAATCCCTTGGCGAGTGAAAAATGTGCTGTCGTAAATTTTTATCTTAAATTGTAATTCGAGTTTACAATTTTTTTGTCAATTTACGACGATATTTTTCGCAGTGTAAAGTTCGATGATAAATAGCTATAAATAACTTCCTTCCTTCTCCACTGTGAAAACTACGTTCTCAAATGTACGATATATTTTGTTATTCACCAATTACAAAGTGTGCATTGCATGTACAACCTCCTGCTCTTGCTCGTCATTCCATTTCAAGTCGGTACGAAGTGCCTGTAAAATTGCAATTTGGAATTGTATTAGGCCGATATATTCAATGGTAAGTTTTCCTGTACCTGGTACGGCAATGTTTCACAGTGTCCTCATAATTTGGCTTTGCTTGTCTTAGGTAGAATTGGTCACGTTTTTCAAACAGCGCAGTATTTAACCACTATATTCATGTATGTCATTTAGTATATGCGTGCTTTGTTCCTCTAGGATACGGTCAAACTGGCCAGCCAGGGTCCGGGTCATGGGACACCAGCAGAGGAAGCAATTTCGGCGTTGGGAGTGGAGCGAATCGTAATCAGGGGCAGCACGGTGTCCGACCTGGCCAGGAATGTTCGTTTGGAAGGTGCAGCGTTAACATTCCCGGAGATAACACCGAGGACATATACCTCAGATGAAACGTTCTGAATATTTCTGATCTAGTCTCGGATCTAGTGCACTTTTTTTGTTTAATTTGTCTGCCTCTGTCCACCGTTACGATTGGTAGTCGTATTACATAGCTTATTTCATAGGTCAGGCTAGTATTCTTTGATATCTTTGAACTGTTTAACGTTGGTCTTCATTAAAAAGAATAAATTGATAAATTAATGTTAGTATAGGAATCAAACTAAATATTACATTTCTCCCGATCTACAAAAAATACACACACTCTATGTTATGAAATCCTGCTTTTCACATCTTGAATGCCCCTGCCCCGTGATGTCTTCGAAATGTCACCACTGAGAGGTCTAACTTTAAAAGCACCGCGCAAACGTGATGCGTTGCGCTAGCGCGCCCGTCTGTTTGGCTAAATCAGCAATACTAACACGGGCAGCCGACTCGGCTCGGGGCTCGGCAACAACGCGTGGCTTGGCGGGCGTAGCTGTAGCGTGGCTGACGCGACGGCGACGTACGCCACCCAGCCGCTTCACGACCCCGCCTACCAGGCCAAGCACAATACGTACATGAGCTTTCTTCTGGTTCTGTTTAATATTTTTGAATCGAGAGTTAAAGCAATGACACCTTACATTGCTCATGTATAGTTATGTTTAGATATGAAAGTGTAAGGTTGCAAGGTGTCATCTGCTAAAAAGCGGGTGCCTGCCGCCGTGACGAAAGGCAACCTTTTCGCCCCCGCTTTCCGCCGATCCGCGGTAACACGGAGTTTCGCAACTTTAAAACTAAAAGTAACACACTCGGTTTGACAATCTGACACTTTAATCACTTGTGAGAGAGTATCAAAGACGCGAAGTGAGCGCCGGAGCCGTTGGTGCTCTTCACTCACTCAAATGCAAAGCTGCCAACATACTAACGCACTCCGAGCGAATTCAATTTAAACGATTGAATATTTCAAAGCCGACCAATGCATGAAATGATGCACACAGATAATCCTCGTAAATTATCGATTCTTAGACAAATCCGCTTCTCGCTGTCAGTGCAAAACATTTTGAGGAGATACGGAATGTGACGCACAGATAGACAGACTCACGACGGAGACATCGCCTGACCTCTCATCGACTTGGACTGAGCTTCGCTCAGCGACGAGTAAAAACTGCTTCGTGCATCAGAGTAAATATGGTAGCATCTTTATAGAACTAAGTTTACATACATCGTCAAACTATCATTTTCAAAATAACATTAGAGCATAGAAATACATATAGCATTGTGAAAAATAGTAGAGAGAATACCATGTTGAATAAAACTAGTGAAGATAAAAGGAATTAATCTCAAACCTACGCGTAAATCATACCTTGGCATGCAGTACCATTTATACATATCATATTTTTAATAGTCAATTAAATTAATAAAAATAAATGAAATAAATCTCAGAACTTGTTAAAATTAAATACAATGGATAGTGACACTCTGTTCGTTGACATTAAAGATCTAAATCCCACATTCCTAAAAGAGCAACAGAAAATATGAGTTTTGTATCAGTACATTGAATGAAAATCAATTTGTTACGATGAGAGCCATAGACAAGAAATACCTTTCGGACTTGGTGGCCGTTCATGGGTGCATCGGTGCCACGATAGCCTGTTCTTTGCATCTTCTCTGAGACCAGACGCTTCATAGTACTAGAAAATTTAAAAAAGATATAGAAATATAAACAATCAGAGAAGTAATAATAATTTGTTATTGAGATGTGTGTTATCTCCCCTACTACAATTTTTTT